TCTCTCTCTCCCTCTCTCTCTCTCTTTCTCTCTCGACTCTCTCTCTCTCTCACTCTCTCCCTCACACTCTCACATTCGTCTTTTTATCTTCATCGTCATCATCTGGGGAAAAAAGTTATTGTAAAGGTTAAAACAACATTTTTGATGATTATATATTAAAAAACTGATACTAGTAGGAATACTAAGTCTCTGTTTTCTATTAAACATGTTTTTATAGCATGTTTTTAAACAAAGAAAAATTGAAAAAGAACAATTAACTTTAATTTTAGAATGCAAATTTTGATAAAATAATTAAGTTCTTGGATCTAGATCTGCCTATAAATTCGGAATTGAGGATGCATCTCGTCTTACTGTCAGCTTGTTAATTCATATTCAGGAAAAAGAAATAAAGAAAAAGCATTTATGTTTTTGTGATAAAAAATTTTAGATTAAAATTGTTTCATTTACTTTCGTTTATGTTTCCGCTTTCCCTTGCTTTTCTTTTTTATGCCTTACCGTACAGTTGTCTTGAACTCTGATTGGAAATATGGTAAAATATCCTGGACTAGATAGTTGTTTAATTCCTTGATTTTATAAACATTATTTTATATATCGTTTTTACCTTTATATTCACTAATTGAAAACATGAAGATATTTATATCATATTTTTATAGATTTCTTATATCATATTATCAGTATCATATTACTATATTTATATTAATTACATATGCTTATATTTGTAAGTTTTATTTAAAAACGGCGTAATTCAATTGTTCTTAGAACATTTGCAAGGTTGTTCAATAAAGTATTATTATTATAAATTCTATTATAGCAGTCCAATTGTTGCGGATCTTCAAGTGCGTGTTCGTCTTCCAGATTCAAGGTTCCTGGCCCAAACTGGAAGCAATGTGTCTGGAAAAACGGCAACGATGCCAGAGATAACGGAGAAGTTCATGTAAGATGAAATTTTCCTTTGCAGCCTTGTTGGCAAAATACGAGTTCGAGAAGTGTTAGTAGAAGCAAGACGCGTAAAACTGAAGAAATAAAAACGCGTACGCGTGCTGTGTGCAGTTAAAGCACGGGAGGATTAACACAACACGAGAGTCGGTTAAGAAGCGGAGCGCTACTCGACACTTCTCTAAAAGTGTTCTGGAAATCCCCAAGTCCCTTAGAACTACACTACAAATAAGAATAGCCATTATTTTGGATACGAATAACGCGCTCTCGTGCTGTGTGAAGTTATAAAGCATGAGGGGGTTAATTTCTCAACTTTTAAAGGGTAGTCTTCCAATCCCCAATTGCAAGCGAGTTTTTTTTTTTCCTTTAATAAAATACCAATTACAATAATCGTCATTTTAGACACAAATGAAGAAAAAGAAAGTGCACGTGCGTGCTTTTTGCTCTCATAATGCAGGCCCTCCCAACCAATCAAAACGCAGGATTTAAAGCAGTTATTTTATAAATTACGAAATAGCTAGTGCACGTGCGTGCTGTTTGCTCTTATAAAACAGTTATTTTATAAATTGGTTTTCGTTAGGAAATTTGCGTTGTTTTTGCGAGGACTGATTCTTTCTTTCGTTTACCTTTTTTCAATGAAAGTAAAATAATCTTCCAATGTGTTTACCAACTGTTTAATTCGCAGGAATGCCTGTTTTACAAACAACGAGCCGATTCGTACCTCAGGGTTGCCTATCAAGGCAATATTCGAGTTTCCTGCCGCAAAATTTGCTGTAAACGATGGTTCTTCACTTTTAACAAGGTGGAATGTTCAACTCCAGCGCCAATAGATGCCCTAGTTTATCAAGAATTAGGAGCATGGTCTTTAAACATCCACCGTTCTGCTACCCAGGAGGGGTACTGTGGGGGCATTGGTAAAGGGATCGTTAGGGTGGGGTTCTCGGTAGGTAACTGTTCTGGTTTTGGAGATGCTGACGCTCACACTAGCTGGAATTCTGTGAGCAGGATTGTCATTGAAGAAGTCAACCCTCCTCAGGCATGATTCCCTAAAACACATGTAACTGAACCAGTTAAGGTATTAAACCTGTAAAGCTGATTGAAGCCAAATAAAAGAGATCAAATATTGTTGATTGAATGATAAACAATATAATCAGTGTTCATGTTATCTTTTTCAAAAACATCCTTGGGATCTAAAAACCGACATTGGACAAACCACAATCGAAATGCATTATTGSCTTCATCAAATTAATTGCAACATTTGTCGCTGAGAACTGATTTTGCTGTGCGTTTTTAGTGATCAAAACAATAAATGGAAAGATCATTCGCGCGCAATAAGTTTATGACGCACGGCAGTAGAGTAAGGTGAAATTTAAACTGCATCCAGTTACTAAAAATAGCCCACCCGGGAATTTACAATGCGCGCGCGTTATTAAAAAGTTTCCCTCTCTTATTTATGCTCTCTTGACGTACGGCAATCTTCTCTGTACCCACTTTTAGCGATCAGGCTCTCAACAGGTACGGAATTATTATTGTCCTATTTCGCGCGCATAAAACAAACAAAAAACAAAAACAAAAAAGTGAGTCTAGTAGTTTATTCCACTTCTAAAATAAGCCGCATTGGACACCTTTTTACAAGGAGGTATTTTTATCAAACACTGAAAGAACAAGAAAATAGAAAAGAAAAGAAGGGAGTAATCTAGCGCGTCGTACTTGATCTGTCAGAAAATGATAAATCAAAGCTCACTTCCATTACCCTATACTTATATTAATTATGACGTAATGCATTTTACATGTGCGCATGAGTACAAACTTCGCTATACTTGGTCAAATTAAGGCACGCAATCAGAGAACCGTCAGTTCAGAGRTCCTGTACTTCAGTAAAGAACTACTTGCGATCATGGCTGTTTTCTCATTCAAGCTCGTCATCCTTGTTGCTGTCTTTATCGGACAGACTACCGTTTCTCATGTAAGTTACTCACCATGAACGTGTTTGATTGGAATTTGCTGCTTATAAAGTATTCCATTTCTCTTCTCTCTCTCTCTCTCTGTTTCTTTCTTGCTTTTTCTTCTTTCCTTTTTCTTTTGTTTTTTCCTTTCTTCTTCATCATCATTTTCTTCTTCATCATCTTCTCTTTTCCCCCTCCTTTTTGGCCGTAAGCTATGACTAATTACATCTTTGCCAAATAATGAAATGCGGTATACTCGTACTAAACCGTGAAATTGTCGTGCTCTGCTCCGGACATCCTTATTTATGGAAAAGCATAACTATGCATTTTTTCTCTATACCTAGAATTTTAATTGCAAGTTTTCAAATGTTGATAATGGTGAAATTATCAATAAGAAATAAGAATGAAACAGTACAAGACATTAATGTAAAGACTTCAGAAGTACAGCCTTAAAAATGCGATAGTTACGAAAATGCCTCAGCTTCTGTGACATGTTTTTTAATATGTCATTTCGAAGAAAAACCAATACATGAGAGTTAATGACAAGCTGTTAGAGCGAATGCAATTAAACCGTGAAATAAAATCAGTCAAACTAAATAATAACTAATAGTATATCTATTTAGTGACTAATATATAGTTGCTATCACTCGACCAGAACATTAATTAAACAAAAGACACAAATGGTCTCTTGTGTATTTGTCTTTGTATGATGAATGTTCTGGTTGAGTGATAGCAACTATTAGTCACTAAATAGATACTATTAGTCAGTATTTAGTTTGATTTCATTTCACGGTTTAATTGNCTAGTTTTCTAAAATTTCTATTCCAGGGAAAAGAAATGTACTCATTTTAAAAATTTTGAGAGATTATTTCATTCACTTAAGCTTTCATCACTATCTTTTCCTTTTTATTCCCTAACTGTGTATTTGCGGTTTTTATTTTKAAAAACGAAATAAACTTTAAAATGCCAAAGAAAATAAAGATTGTTGGCGATCATTGGTACTTTTCTTGATTTTATTTCTGTTCTAGCAGTCCAACTATTGCGGGTTTCCAAGTGAGTGTGCGTCTCCAAAATCCAAAGCTCATGCCCCAAACTGGAAGCAATGTGTCTGGAAAAGTGCCAACGATGGCAGAGATAACGGCGAAGTTCATGTAAGATGAAATTTTTCTTTGAACCCTCGTTGGCAAAATACCAAWGTTAGTAGAAGAAAGAAGCGTGAAATTGAAAAATAAAAACACAAGGGCGCTGTGTGCGATTTTATATAAAGAACGTGGGAATAGAACTGACACGAGAGTAGTGAAGGGAAGCCGAGTGGTCATCTCAAGCCTTCTTYTAATCTTCCAATGCTTTGTAACTCGGATCCAGCAACACTGCGAGCAATTGTATTTTTTTCTATTTCTTTTTGAAATAGAATGGTCGTCATATAATTATTTTTCGTTTGGGAACAATTTGCGTTGTTGCCGCAAGCGGCCTGGTGCTTTTTTTAGTTACCCAGTTGCCTCCTCATTGTATAAAAGTAAAAAAGATATTCCAATCTGTATTTCAAACCGTTTTATTCGCAGGAATGCCTCTTTTACAAACAACGAGCCGATTCGTACCTCAGGGTTGCCTATCAAGGCAATATTCGAGTTTTCTGCGGCAATGGTTGCTGTAAACGATGGTTCTTCACCTTCAACAAGGTGGAATGCTCAACACCAGCGCCTATCGATGCCGTAGTTTATCAACACTTAACCCCTGCTGGACCGAGCGCCAATATTCACCGTTCTGCTACCCAGGAGGGGTACTGTGGGGGCATTGGTAAAGGGATCGTTAGGGTGGGGTTCTCGGTAGGTAACTGTGCTGGCCATGGAGATGCTGACGCTTACACCAGCTGGAATTCTGTGAGCAGGATTGTCATTGAAGAAGTCGACCCTCCCCAGGCATGATTCCCTAAAACACATGTAACTGAACCAGCTTATAAACCTGTAAGAATAAGCTGATTGACACCAAATAAATAAAAAAGAAGATTGAATCTTGTTTGCTTGAATGATAAATAATTTATTCATTTTTCATGTTATTAAAGCATTATATTTTTCAAAAACATCTTGTGATATCGAAATGCATTATTGGCTTTACCAAATTAATTGTAATATATCCCATGATTGTCGAAACACGACTTACAACATATTTGGCAATCACGTGATGTTCTAACGTCTAATTAAATTCCTTATACCTTGAGGCGTGGACAGGTAATTTAATTGCAACAGGGTACAATATAACTTAATAAGCTGAAAAGCAAATATACCRCTGCCCTATTCGGATGCGGGAAATCCAAATCTCACTTCATAGTTTTGTWGCACAGAACTGATGTTGCTGTGTGTGAGACATCCCACGAAAACTCTGTTGTGTGGAGCAACATTGCACCGGTCTGTTTCATGGYGAAGAGAAATCAGAGAGATCACCTTAAATGTAAAAGTACCCAATTGCAGGGAGTGTAGTTATAGTCTACTGACCTATTTCAGGTCGTAGCCTCACAGACCGTTTAAGAATAATAGTTTTTTTTTTGTCGGCTTTATGAGAGCATGCAGCACGCTCGCGTACTTTTAGTTTCGTCATTCATGTAATTGGTCAGGCCCGTAGCTAGGGGGGGGTGCAGGGGGTGCGTTCGCACCCCCCCCCCCCCCCCCTATCCCACGCGAGCTAAAGGTCCGCTTTTTAAGCAAGTGAGATTTTGGCTGGTAGGATATTTTCATGTAAAACTAAGTAAAAAAAATCAATCTTACTATAATAATTTATCTATACCTATGCGTCCTCGGGACTTTTTGTAAATTAGAACCCCCCCAACAAAAATCCGCTACACGTCGTGCTTCTCCCAACACTTCTCTCGTGTTCTCTCGTAGCGGAGTGCTTCTGGACACTTCTCGAGTGTTCTGTCAATCCCCAAGTGCTTTATGACTGCACACAGCACCGCAAGCAAGTTTTTTATTTCTTTTATAAAATACAAATTACAATTATAGATAGGAATGACGCAACGGAAAGTGCGCGCGCGTGCAATGTGCTCTCATAAAGCACGCGCTCCAAACCAATCAGAACGCGACATTAATAACAGTTATTTCATCATTATCATTATCATTATCATTATCATTATCATTATCATTATCCGGTTGCTAAAATTAACCCAACCGGGAATTCACATGGCGCGCGCGTTATTAAGAAGATTCCCTCTCTCATTTATGCTCTCTTGACGTGCGACAATCTTCTCTTGACCCACTTTTAACGATCATGCTCTCAACAGATGCGGAATTTTATAGCCCTTTTAATAAAGAATGCGCCCATAAAACAATAAACACAAAAATGTGAGTCTAGGGGTTTATTCCAGTTCTAAGCTGCAATGGACACCTTTGACAAGGAGCGAGAGGTATTTTTAACAAASACCGAAAGGATAAGAAAATAGAAAAGAAAAAAAAAGGGATAATCTAGCGCTTCGTACTTGATCTGTCAGAAAATTTTAAATCCAGACTCACTTCCATTTCCCTACATATATATACTTATTATATACTATGACGTAATGTATTTTACATGTGCGCATGCGTACAAACTTCGATATACTTGGTCAAATTAAGGCACGCAATCAGAGAACCGTCAGTTCAGAGGTCCTGCACTTYAGTAAAGAACTACTTGCGATCATGGCTGTTTTCTCATTCAAGCTCGTCATCCTTGTTGCTGTCTTTATCGGACAGACTACCGTTTCTCATGTAAGTTACTTACCATGGACGTGTTTGATTCGAATTTGCTTATAAAGTATTCTATCTGTCTCTCTCTTTCTTTTTTTTTCTTTTTCTTCTTTCCTTTTTGTCTTTTGTTTCTCCTTTCTTCTTCATCATCATCATCTTCATCATCTTCTTCTTCTTTATCTTCTCTTTTCCCCCTTCTTTTAGGCCGTAAGCCATGACTTATTACATCTTTGATAATGAAACGCGGTATACCAGCACTAAACCGTGAAACTGTTGTGCTCTGCTCAGGGCATCCTTACATCGTGGAAAAGCATAATTGTGCATTTTTTCTCTATACCTAGAACTTTAATTGTTTTCAAATTTGGAAACTGGGGAAATTTATCAATAAGAAATAATAATGGAACAGTAAAAACACATTTATGTAAAGACTACAAAAATTAACTGAAATAAATTTCAGAAATGCAACCTTAAAAATGCGATACTTACGAAAAYSCCTCTTCTGTAACATGTTTTTTAACATGTTACTTCGAAGAAAAAACAATACATGAGAKTAAATGATATGCACTCTCAGGCAAGCTGTTATCACATAAGGAAAATGCAAATTTCTAGGAATAATTCTAGATTTTTAAAACTTYCATTTCAGGGAAAATAAATGTACTTATTTACAAATTTGAATAAAAGCATTTTTATATTAAAAATTTGAGAGATTATTACATTCACTTTCATCACTTCCTTTTCCTTTTTATTCCCTAACTGTATATATTTGTTTTTATTTTGAAAAACGAAATAAACTTTAAAAGAAAATAAAAAAAGATTATTGACAATCGTTGCTACTTTTCTCGATTTTATTTCTAGCAGTCCAACTATTGCGGGTTTCCAAAAGAGTGTTCGTCTCCCAGATCCAAAGCTCATKCCCCAAACTGGAARCAATGTGTCTGGAAAAACACCAACGATGGCAGAGATAACGGAGAARTTCATGTAAGATGAAATTTTTCTTTGAATGTTAGTAGAAGAAAGAAGTGTGAAAATGAAAAATAAAAAAAGCAAGTGAGAATTGCCGGACAGAACACGAGAGAAGTGTAGGGAAGCGGAGTGCTCCTCTCAAAGCGCTCTTCTAATCTCCAAGTGCTTTATAACTCGGATCCCACAGCACAGCGAGCAATTGTATTTTTTCTGTTTCTTTTCAAMATAGAATGGCCGTTATTTTGGATAYGAATGACAAAATAGAAATTGAATAGACTAGAATGATTATTTTTCGTTTGGGAACAATTTGCGTTGTTGTTGCAAGGCCTGGTGCTTTTTTTAGTTACCTTTGCCTCCTCATTGTATAAAAGTAAAAAAGATATTCCAATACGTATTTTCAACCGTTTTATTCGCAGGAATGCCTCTTTTACAAACAACGAGCCGATTCGTACCTCAGGGTGGCCTATCAAGGCAACMTTCGAGTTTACTGCGGCAATGCTTGCTGTAAACGATGGTTCTTTACCTTCAACAAGGTGGAATGCTCAACACCAGCGCCTATTGATGCCGTAGTTTATCAAAACATAACCCCTGCTGGACCGAGCGCCAATATTCACCGTTCTGCTACCCAGGAGGGGTACTGTGGAGGCATTGGTAAAGGGATCGTTAGGGTGGGGTTCTCGGTAGGTAACTGTGCT